CTTCCGGTATTGTCTTAGTTTTTCCGGTATTCCATTTATGGTAAGATGCGTCTGGGCGACGTTACGCTTGCGTGAAGCGTACCTCGCGCTCTCTTCCGTAGCAGCGTGCTAACCGCACGAGCGCTCCGCCGTCTGTGTTCAGCTTTTTAAGCATGATGAGCAGCAAAACGACCGTGGTATTTGCTGGGGCTTGCGGAGCCGTTTTTATCGCGTACTGTTTTTATTTTGACCGGAAGCGACGGAGCGACCCGCTTTTTAAGGAAAAGCTACGTGAGCGTAAGTGTCGGAACGCGCTAGTTTGGCTAACGTTAGCATGGTTAGCATCCATGTGACCGGCGGCCTGAAAAAAGACGCCGCAGCGAAAAGTTTTGACACATCCTTTTTTCCCACCTTCGCAATTCCAATCAGAGTAATAGTGTTAGAGATATACAAAGCAAATRAATTTTCCGTTTGATCCCAGATTAAATGTTTTTTTTTTTTAAATTACAGGTAGAAGAAAGCAAAACGCTTCCATTGAGAATGCAGGTCTCTCAAAGGTAAGAAGTGGTKAAAACATTTAAATCCAATTAACTTATGTCTTTGAAAGCTATAATTTAAGGCTGTTTGATTGTTTTGAAGCTCCCAGACATGAAGGACCCCGAAGCTGTTCAGAAATTCTTCTTGGAAGAGATCCAGCTGGGAGAGGAGCTGCTGTCACAAGGTTGGTGTTCATCCATGATGTATTCAAAGATCTCAACAGCTGAACCTTATTTCTGCACCTTGTAACACAAAACAATAACTTGTCCTGCCTTTTTTGCGTTTACACCCCCAGGTGAATTTGARAAAGGTGTAGACCACCTGACCAATGCCATCGCGGTCTGTGGTCAGCCTCAGCAGCTGCTCCAGGTSCTCCAGCAGACCCTGCCTCCCCCGGTCTTCCAGATGTTGCTCACTAAGCTACCCACTATCAGCCAGGTGAGGATGTTATGCAGATCCATGTTTCTCGTGTCACCTTTAGAAACCCCCCAGCTGCTGCCTGTAGCTTCTGGGACAAGAAAAGGTGCGAGAGGAACCTTAGAATCATCCAAAGCTGGGAGCTGTGTGACCGTAGCTCCTTGCTATTTCACCTCTAAGACAGAAAAAAAACAACACGTGTTATGAAAACTAAAATACATGAAAGCATGTGAGAAAGACAAAAGCACCTAAAGGCAAGTTAAAAGCTAACTGTAGGAAAACTACAAGCATAAAATACCAAACGACTTGTTCAAAGCTAAAATTAGCAAAAGGTTAATGTAAAGCTTAAAGTATCAAAAGGCTAGTAAGAAGCTAAACAGAACAAAAACAACAAAGTAGTAAAAGATTAACTCAAAAATAGCAGGCTAATTAGAAGCTAAATGGAACAAAAGTGTAACTAGAAGCTAGCCAAAAGTAGTGAAAGGCTAGCTAGAAGCTAAAAGTAGAACTAGGTTGACTAGAAGCTAAATATCGCAAAAGCTTAGCCTAGGGCTGCGCGGGATGTGCGGTAGATGGTAGAAACGATACGAAGTTGGCCTACGGTAGAAATTTACCCTCTACCGTCCTGTCGTCAGTTACGTCATCGCAYCTGTGTCAACATGTCTGTGAGTGCAGAGACAACTGAGCAGGAGTTGGAAATATTCTGAAAATAAATGAAAAAATAGTTTTAAAACACGTATAGAGAGAAGAATTCCTCAATGTCCCCCTCCTGCTGTAGAAAAGTTGCGTCAGGATCTGGTTATAACATCCACTTTATTTTGATATTGTTGAAAATTTGGGAAATGTTTTTATTTGTTGTTGAAATCGTTTTACAATATATATATAAAACATTATTTTGTAGTTCTGTTATGTTCATTTGCACTACAGCAAAAATGCTGGCTTTGATTATGATTACAGTTTTCTGCTGAATAAATGCTCTAAAATTTACCTTATCTTTGCTTTTTATGATAATTTTCTACTGCGTTATATACCATTACTGTGAAGGGATTAAATTCATACCGTGATATGAATTTGAGGTCATACCACCCAGCCCTAGGTTAGCCAAAACTAGAGAAGGACAGTTACAGGCTAAATGTAAAATAAATCTAGCAAAAGGCTAGCTAGAAGCTAAAAGTAACAAAAATAACTAAAAGCTAAAAGTAGTAAAAGGTTAACTAGGAATCAGCTAAAAGTAGTGAAAGGCTAGCTAGARGCTAAAAGTAAAAGGATAACTGAAAGCCTAAAATATCAAAAGGTTAGTTAGAAGGTAAAAGTAGCAAAAGGTTTGACTAACTGCTAAATATAGCAAAATTTGAAAAAGGCAAAAAAAAGCAAGACGAGAGTAGGGAAAGGCTAGCTAAAAGCTATAAATGGCAAAGTGTTAACTTAAAATAAACCGTAGCGTAAAGCTAGTTTGCTGAAGTGGCAGAAGGAAAACCAAAAGCTAAAAGCAACTAAAATCTAGTTTTAAAAAGGCAAAAAGATGAAAACAGAGCTGCCCAGGTTCTTAAGAGAATCATGTTTTTAAAGGAACAGAGGAGCTCTCTGTGTACTCGACGTGGAAAACGTTTGTAAACAAAGTGAAATATGCCGACTCAGCGTTTCTATAAACGCCCGTGTATTATAATGGTCTGTGTACTTCAGTAAAGTGTTTGCTTGTTTCTGTTTCAGCGAATCATGAGAGCTCAGCCGTTAACAGAAGACGACGTGGAGTGAGCTGACGTGTTCAGAACAGAAATCTGTTATTTACTTTTAAAACTTGAATATTTCCTGCACTGTTTAAGATGAAACGTTGAACTTCCTTTGGTTTTGTTTGAACCAYATTCCCTCCAGATACTATTTCTTTGTTTTCTCCATTTATTAATAAAATATATTTTCTCAGTGGTGACATGTGATATATTCATGTAGATTATTTGTTTTATTATCATGTGACGTGTCACCATGTGGGCAGAAAGCTGAAAATGTTGCTTCATTCCAACTTTATGTAAAAAATCTGATTAAAACTTGGAAACACTCGCCGAGTCGCTGACTTATTTTAACCAGCAGAGGGCAGCAGTCGTGCACAAAAACAAACTTAACTGGAAGCTGCAGAAATGACTTGTGTAGAGTTGCAACAATAAAATAAACTTAGATGTTGAAGGAACGCACATTTATTCACCTTCAACGTCCGTTTTAGCCTAAAATCTGCTGAGGTGCAGCTGTTTMCTTTCAGCAGCAGGTGGTAACGAAATGACCTCATAAACTGAAATGTAAATAAAAGCATGTTTCGAACATTTATTTTAAGACTCCTAAGCTCCAGACAACCAGAAACTGAGTCCACTGACCCACATTTCTGCAGAATGAGTGGTTTTATTGTGCAAAAGTGGAGCAACTAGTAAGGAGGGAGGAGAGGTCTGGTTTGAAGACGAATGAGAGTCGTAATTTTTATTTTCGTCTGCAGCTGTCGTTCCGAGAGAGCCGAGCCTCAGACCGGGAGGTTGCCAGGAAACCAGAACCGGGGGGAGGGGGGGGCGGCGGTGGAAATAGTTTTTCTACATAAGGAATGAAAAATGAACGGCGGCCCAGAAATGTCAGGCAAAGACTGAACGGTGGACCCTGTTCCATTTTCCATGAACTCATGCACTCGAGTGGCTGCACTAGGGGGGTCGGTGCTGCTTCTGGACCCGAGTACCTCACGCATAAACATTAAGACCAGCAGAGGACCTTCTGTTTTTCTCCACAAACTACTTTACTGATTCMGTTTTTYGTTTGGGGCTTTAAAAATCCTGGGTTTGGCACCAAAACCAGAATCCAAAACAAGGTTTTTCTGTTTATGAGGTGGTCCTAACAGACCCCTGCAGAGGGAGCAGGGACCGGTTCAGACCCCATACCACTGGTCTTCTATAAACAGAGTCAGCCCTGGATTTCATCCCCTGCAGACCTGCAGACCCCTAAAGTCCTGGCCCTTAAATGCCTGTGGTTCTGGACCTCGTGACGTTCAAACAAAGCAGAGCAGCTAAACTTCCTGAGTTTGATTCTTTTATTAGAAATCACCCGTTTCTCTGCATTCTTGCTCTATTTCAGTCTGCCTGAGTGACTATGAGTCAGCTCTTTATTTCTGGTGAAAAGGGCACAGAGATAATCGCAGTCCCTCTTGTTTTGCAGTAGGGGGCACTGTTGCTCCGAGCCCCACCAAGACCCCCACTGGTCCTCTGAAGGAGATGGAAGAACAGCTCCAGTTGACAGCAACAACAATGGTTAGAGACCACGTGCTCAGGAGGAGTCATTTCTAACGTTTTAGTGTTTTTCTTTTTTGTTCATGATGAAAAATGTTGTTTTATTAACCGTCCTGGAAATATCCTGTTTGAAAATCTTTCCGGTCTGAGAAAATTTTTTTAAAAAGCAGCCGAGGAGTTTTCTGTAATAATCTGTTGGATTCTGATGGCACGTCAAGTGTTGGGATTATTGTAATTACAATAATAATCTGAAGCTCCACAACTCATTACTTTAAATCCTGTCAACAAATTATCCAAAACACGTMTGACCTTTTGTTTCTAAATGTTTTATGCTCTGAATGTCAGCGCCTGATTGCGGCGAGGCCYGTCTGACCGGCGGAGATGTCTGGTTGTGCAGGAGCAGCTGTGTTTGGGACTCGAAGGCGGACAGAAATAACCCAGCGGTGCGCGGTTTCCATGGCAGCTTCACGTAGCTTCAGCTGCGTGCGTCGACTGTTGCCCCTCAACAGATAGATGTTTGCTGCCTGTTAGGCCTGGAGTCTTTCTCCATCTTGGTTTTATACGTTTTCTGTTGTAGGAGAGAACGTGCCACGAATAATCAGTCAATAATCATCTGTACTGTATTAGCTTTTAGCTAATCTTGAGCTATTTTAAGCTAGCATATTGCTGCTAAAAGATGCTCTACTTTTCAGCTAGAATTCTATTTCCATTTTAAAGCTAGCATTTTGCTGCTATTTCCACCTTTTTAGCACTTTGTAATCAATGGAAGAAGACCCTCACCTTTACTAGCTTTTAGCTAGCCTTTAGCTATTTTAGTTGGCTTTTTGATACTGTTTTTAGCTAGCACATTGCTGGTATTTCTGCCTTTTGGGTAGCATTTTTCTACTTCTACCTTTTAGCACTTTGTAATCAATGGAAGAAGACCCTCGCCATTACTAGCTAGCCTTTAGCTATTTTAGTTGGCTTTTTGATACTGTTTTTAGCTAGCACATTGTTGCTATTTCTGCCTTTTAGCTGGCATTTTGCTACTTCTACCTTTTAGCACCTTTTAATCAATCAAAAACCATCGCCTTTACTAAAATTTAGCTAGCCTTAAGCTATTTTTAGTTGGTGTTTTGATACTGTTTTTAGCTAGCTTGTTGCTGCTAAAAGATGCATGTACCTTCTGGCTAGTATGTTGCTGCTATTTGTACCTTTCAGCTAACATTTTCCTACCTCTAGTGCCTTTTTAATAAGCTAAAGATCTTTGCCTTTACTAGCTTTAAGATAGCTGAGCTATTTTTAGTTTGCAAATTGATTTTGTTTTTAGCTAGCATGTTGCTGCTAAAAGATGCTTCAAATGTTTCGCTAATATGTTGCTTCTACTTCTGCATTAAGCTAGTATTTAGTTACTTCTACATTTGAGCTAACATTTTGCTTCTACGTTTCAGCTAGCATTTTGTTACTATTAGCTCTGAGCTAACGTTTTGCTATTTCTAACAGTAAAATTTTGCTACGTCTACCTATTAGCTAGCACTTGAACAGCTATGATTTGCTCCCCATTGGACCTGGACTTCCTCTTCATCTTGGTTTTTGTACGAAGACAGACTGTGCCACAGATAATCAGCCGAAGAACATCCTCACCTTCTACGTTTATTTGTCTTCATCTTGAACAGTCATAGCAGCTGTTGAATTTACCAGACTTTTATATGTTTTAYCTCTAAATTTGATTTAAGTCTTGTTTTTTGTTGCAATAGAACAATAGCCTGAATACACTAGCTACCTTAGCTCATAGCTATCTACACGCTATTTGTTTAGGTACTGACCATTAATGAGAGAAGGAAACATGATTTTAGCCCAAGCTCGTGTCTTGTTAGCAAAATATCCCATAAACCACTGCACAGATTTTAATGAAACTCTGGAAATTATTTTTTACATCTGGATGGAATCGACCTGATTCAAGATGGCTGTCGCAGCTGAACAAGCTCAATGCAAAAATTACTTTAATTCAGCCAATTGTTCAGATATTGAGCTAAAATTTGGCATGGTAGTAGCTAAGAGTCATTCATAGATTACTTGTTAATTTGAACCAGTTTATTAAAATAATTTTTGTCGCAGCTGAAC